CCCTGGGGGGCCTCACCTGGAGTACTGTGTCCAGTTCTGGGCTCCCCAGTATAAGAGAGAGATGGCACTCCTGGAGAGAGTCCAGTGGAGGGCTACCAAGATGATGAGAGGGCTGGAGCACCTCTCCTATGAAGAAAGGCTGCGACAGCTGGGCCTGTTCAGCCTGGAGAAGAGAAGGCTGAGAGGCAATCTCATCAATGTGTGCAAGTATCTGAAGGGAAGGTGTCAAGAGGATAGGGCCAGACTCTTCTCCGTGGTGCCAAGTGATAGGACAAGAGGCAACCGGCACAAACTGAACTGCAGGAAGGTCCACCTGAACATGAGGGAAAGCTTCTTTGCTGTCATGGACTAGATGATCTCCAGAGGTCCCTTCCAACCTAAACCATTCTGTGAATCTGTGATTCTGGTGCAGAAGAAGGGATAGGAAGCATATGGAGGAGTTTTATTTAGTATTCTCCTAGTACTGGCTGTTCTTATTTCTCAGTTATGTTTTCAATAAATTTTATGTGCTGTTTTTTGCGTTCCTAACAGTTTACCCCTCCTCCACTGTTTTTCAAATGCAATCACCAGTGATTCAGAAAATACTTTCATTAGTTCTTAAGTGCTCAAGGTTAATTTTTCCTTGCATTAAGGTTTTATGTGAAAGGGGAGGTGGAAGAATGGCTAAGAGCAATAATAAATAGTATGAGCTAACAGATAAATCATGAACGCTAGCATGTGAAATGCCTGACTGGCAAGGAAGATGAAAAGGTTCTAATACTTGCATGAAAAATGGAAGAAATAAGGGAAGTATTCATTGCTCTTCAAACCGGAAGAACTAGTGATAGCATTAATGCCTTTGTTTTGGAATTCAGAATAAAGATAAATTGTAACTAGATATCTAATACATCATTTTTTTTAATAAAGGCACAGAGCAAAATAGAGAAAGGACAGACTGAAGACTCATTCAATAACTTCGATATTTTTTAATTGGCAAACTCTAAATTTTTTTCTAACGGGCTTTAAAAAACTGAGAGGCACTTTTTGTGTCATTAAGAATTACTTTTGAGAAATGCTGGGACTGTGTTAGGTCCTAGGGGCTAAAGAAGAACAAACAGTATATAGCAAATGTAGTTTAAGGGTGAGGAAAAAATGGGGACTATTAGGGGTTCTCTCTGACCTAGTACTGCTTAATGAATTATGAATCAATTCATAGGACCTAGCCTATAATTAAATAGAAAGGAAGCAGTCAGATGAATTTGACAAGAACAATTTGCATCAAACCAATCTATTTACTCTCTTCAATGGAAAATAATTATCTAGTGCATAAAGGGAAAGTGGTCTGTGATATTTTACTCTGGTAAGCATTTTGATCCTGTCCTACATGGCATTTTCAGAAAGACTAGGGAAATATTCACTAGGTAAAACTGTTAGAAAGTACATATGCAAGTTGCTAAGCCTCCCACTCCCTGACCTACTTTCAATGATTTTCTGTCAAATGGAAAGGAAATTTCAGAGGGCTCCTGCAAAGGTTTCCTTGGCACGGTTCTAAGATTTTCAAGATCAATTTTACTGATAGTGCATATACTTATAACATCTCTTCGCTTCATTGGGTTAGGAATATTATAAATACTATATAAAAAGATCAGAATAGGCAGTCTTTTTTTTTTTTTATCTTTTAAACGGAGAGATGATCTGAGATCATTAAAATTTGGGAAGGAAAAAAGGAAAGTAAAACAAAGGAGAAGATATGAATAACTGGCTAATTGCTGCTGCTGCAGTAGGGAGTCCTGATGCTTGTAGCAGATGTTTATCCACATGTCCAGAACAAGGAAAAAGTCAAATAAATTTTTCTTCTAGAAGTAGGATGAAAATCAAAAATCTTATTCTGAAATGAAGAAGCATAGTTAATAAACGTGTGGGTTTATTATATTATTCTCCGATGTGCTTGAAACCCTGAACTTGAATACTCTGTAAAGCTTTAAACAACAATCTTGAAGGACAGTATAGGCAAAGCAAAGACTGTCTAGAGGAAAAAAATAACAAAGAAGTTTGGAAAACACTGAAAACAGTGAAATAACTAAGATCTGATTAGTTTAAAAAGAGAAAATATGATGTGACTGCTTCAGAAGGTGCACAAATCCCTATTAAAAGGATAAGACTTACTTCACAGTCTTCACACCCTGATACCACCAGAAGAAAATATGAATAATTTTTAAGTTTTGCTCACATATGAGGAAAGCACTTGTAATGATGAGGCTAGTAGAACGGTGGAACGCTCTGCTTTGAAAGGTTGTGGAACTTCCTTCAGTTCATGCTGAACAGAGTGAGGAAGGTGGGTATCTGTCAGAGATCATCTATATCATGATCTACTGGAGGGCAAATGTGTGGCTATGGAGACCTCTTCTAGTCCTACCTTGCTATGACTTTCCTTATTGCCTGCTCTAAATATGCTTTTTCCCTTTCAGGATAAGCTCTGTCTAGTTAAAACTACTGACAGATCTTTTGTCATGAGAACAATATGCTCAATAATTCAAAGCTCGAAATGACTTGTGTGGGATAACTGCTGGTTTGTAGTCATTGCAGTCAGCACATATGCACAAAAATATTCTGTATTATCAGAGACTGAGATTTAGTAAAAAGCTGATAACTAAATATATAATTTTACCTAAACATTAAAGATGCATAAATGTAAATGCAGTAGACAATAGTAATATATATATATATATATATGTATATATTTAGCTTAGGTTTGGATTTGACCTTTTCCCTTTGTTGTTTTAGCCATGCAAAAGACTTGTAGGAAGACTTTTTAAAATACTTTAATCTATTTTTTGTTATCTATTCCTGATATTGTCTGTTTCCGCCTAAACTGAGGGCAGATAGGTTGACAGGAAGGACTAAAACTTAAAGTTATCAAAGATTTTTGCTATTATGTTGTGCATAATTTGCCATATTTTAACATGTCTCTTATAGCAGCATTTGCCCTTGAAATTTTCATTTTCGTTATGTTAACGTATTGTACTAGCTGGCTGGAAGTAAATGCTCAAGGATTGGGCTATATCCATCAACTTCTCTTTTTTTCTAGTTCTAGTGATATTTCTGAGAGCTACTGATTAAAAAAGTTAGGGAAATACCAGAAAGTAATGTGGAGGATATAAAATTTTCAAACACATCTACATTTCTTGAGGTATTTTGGAGAACTGCCTATTCTGTGAAACTAGTGGTTTTATACAGGAGAGAATATTCTAGGTGACTAATTCTTTGCAAATGTTTGTATTAAGTATCTCCTTTGCAGGAAAAAAGTATACGATATTGCAGGAATAATGTACAGGTTATCATAGCAATGATATAGGCTGTGACAGCTTACATATTTGGGTTTTATATTATTTTAGCTTCTGGACTTGTAAATAATGTCTATGTCTCTACAGAGATATAGAATAAGGGAACTCCCTTTGAAGGTGATTGCTTGTTAACTAGTATTTGTCACAATGCCCTTTCCAGATGAATTCAGTCAGTTCTTACCATTGCACTCTGAAGTTGCCAAACCACCTGGACATTTCCATATTTTACATATAGTTATGAGGTATAAATAAATTAGCACTTGATCTAGTTCATTTGTCTTCTACTTCCCTTTTGACTCATCAGCTTCCGGGAAAAAATAGAATTCTTTCCTTAGCAGTTTTCAGAAACCGTACCTTCTCTGAAATATCCTGGAAGCCTAAGATTTGGGCCATCAGGCAATGGCACTCGAATAATAACATGTCTTTTGGAGGCACTTATTGCAAATGGGATTAAGGACATTCTCTTCTTTAAAACTATGTGCCCAGTAAGCTGGAGTATATATTTCAGCTTTACAAAAAGGCTGAAGCACCCCCATACGCAGTCCCGTACCTGTAGCTTGCTCACTGGGAGATCAATGTAGGGAGTTTAATAATGTCACTATACTCTTGTGTAAAATATCTGATTGAAGCCCTTTTTCAATTGTGTCGTAAATGTTTTCTGCAGAAATGCCAGGTTCTATGTTGATATAGAAAGGGAGAGAACCAATGGGATGTAAAACTCCTACTTGTACTGAGTGTTTGGGAAGGAACAGATGCCATTTAGCAAAATTGCTGTGTAGCACTCTTCTCTCTGAGTGCTCAAATTGGCCATTGAGGCACTGTCCAGTGTGCCTGGCGTGGAGGTTCTTGCCCTTGGGCAATGCACATACGAACAAGATTTCTCTAGAGAGTGTTATATTGATACTAATGCATTTATAATCTGGGGCAGGGGGGGATTGTTTTTCAGTACTTATTAGGTGATTCTGTTAACAACAATTTTAGAAAAAAGCAAATGTATTGTAACCTGAAAGAAGCAAGATATGCCAGCTTCTCAGTTTTTGTGTCAACAGTGGACTCTTGTATCGTTACTGATGTTTGTTTATGCTGAACACTTGGCTGCTAGTGTATTTTATCTCCTTAGTGAGGTTTTAACTCTCTTGGAGTACTAGTTTGGGAAGATGAACTATGGTCTCCTAGATCTGATTGTAAGATCTCAGTACTTTGAAATTTTCCTTCCCTTTACGTAGTTCTGTTACTGATGGTTATATGTCTTGTTTGGACTTTTCCTCTGCCTAACTATGTCCTTGGAGGGTCCATATATACTTATCTCTGTAAGATTTTCTTCATCTGTTACTGTTCTGTGTACTTCCCTACAGTGCGACCCTTACACTTTTAATTTTCTTTTACTTTTGCTTCATTTCAAGCTTCTGGTGTTGGTTCTAATCTCAAAAGCAGTTAATAATCAAGATACACAAGAAATTGAATTTTGAAATTTTAATTGCAGAATAATTGGGCTTTTGGGGACTGCAGATCATGCAACCCAAGGAAAATTTGCAAAAGCCTGTAAGAGAGAGTTGGCTAAAGGATGAACTTTCCAAGCAAATATATTAAGTCTAGAATCTTGCCCTTCTTGGGAAAAGTTATAAAAACTTTTGTGCACAACTACCTTACATGGTAACGCATGTTTTATCTTTATAGATGCGTCTGGGAGACGACTGTGATTACCAGGAGCTCTAACATTACTGTATGTAAACAAATTTCCTTTAATCCCACATATTTCAACAGTGTGTTGTACTGTAATGGTGATTATCTAGCAATTGCGATGTTTACATAAATGTAGATCCAGAAAAACTCCCCATCCTTCCCCAACTCTGTGTCAAAATTAGTGTTATTTGCAATGTGTTTTCTGGGAAGTTGTCTTAGAATTGAGGACTACTGCACAATAATCCCACTTTAGCTGCCTTTAGTGAATTCAATTCAGAGCTCCATCATCTAGTATCCACCTAGGACCAATTTATCACTCACAAGTATAGTTCCTATTAAACTGAAAGGCAGTGGAGTTAATTACTGAATAGCTTTGTCATTACATAGGATGACCATTAATTGTAACCACTTGCTGTAAAGCTTTTAAAAATACTGTATTTAAACCTTTACTGGAGACATTTTAAACTTGTCTTTCAATCTGATACAAATTTTGAAATCAGCCATAGAAGTTGAAGGAAAAACTGCAACATTTTCACATGGAGATATGTTATCAAATATGTAAAGGACTTTTTGAAGGAAGTTTGTCATTGCAGCGTAAGAGCTGTACTAGAAGTTATTGGCTAACCATATTTATTTTTGCTGACACTGTGGCATATTGGAGTAGATAAGTGACTGTATTGACTTTTACAAAAATCCTATGAACTGCCCTATATTATTTCAAATTCTCTAAGTTTTCACATTTGGAAATGGTCTTAATTGGTCTTAATTTCTCATTGTGCTGTTCCACTTAGTGTTACAACATTCCATTATGAAAACATAATTAATTTTCCTTCAGATGGTGATATTCTGTTTTTAGTATTTGTTTCAAGGAGACTAAGATATGGGGAGTGGTGGTTATGTGCACGCAGCAGCTTTGAGTAAAACTGCTGCCTCTGGAAGTATGCTTTAATATGTTGTCTTTAAAATATATAGCCTTTCTTCAGTATGGTTAAAATGGCTGAAAATTTTGGGTGCATAATTTCTGCGGAGATTACTGCCACTGTTCTGTGTGAAATGAACTGGAGAAGGAAGTAGAGAGGAAAGAACATTTTTTGTAATTATTACAAAGCAAGCTGAGTGATTGGAAAATTACTTCTGAACCTCTAAACATGCACAGGGTCTCTCTGTGGAAATACTGCAAATCTGCCTTCCTTTTCTGACCAGGGAGCACACTTGAGAGCCTGAGTTTAATTCCAAAGTTGAAGAATGAGATTTTTATATAAGGAGCTTCACTATGAGCAGTGTTGTTTCCAAGGTGCTATTTGAATATCTCTGTGAGAGAGAAGGTAGATGTTCCAATGCAGCATGTGCGCTATTGCAGTGTATCATTCAGACCAAAATACGTTATTGTCTCAAGTTGCTTCACTTCCAGGTGCTGCAAAATTGCAACAACAAAGCTTGACTAATGTAGCAAAGCTCAAAGTGAGACTGTATAGGACTGCTGGATGATTTGATTTTAAACCAAACGTATTTCACTTGTTCACATGCAGTCTCTTTTACCCACGAAGCCTTATGTGTTGAAGTAGTTTGTCCAGTATTGCTTTTGGAGACACACAGGAAGAGGAATACCAGCTGCAGAGGTCATACTATATATTTCATGGGTTGCTGTTCGGCTACCTGGCTGTGCTGGCGTATGGGTGCGTGTTGTGGTCTGCTGGTGATTGTCCTCTTTTGTCTGACCGTCCTGTCCCACCTCTGAGAATGTTTAGGCAATGCTGCCGATTTACTCTGTGACTGGGCGGCATAGGGCTTCAAATCAATTCTTTATTTTCCTGCTGTCGTCTGCTAGTGGCTTTGGTCTGTTCTTTGGTTTACTGTCCTTTGTCTTCCTTCTGGGTGTTACTGAGAAACTGCATGTAGATGTGTTGGGATCTTTCTTGATGACCAGTTATCTAAGCATCATCAACACCTGCCATTCTTATACTCCTTTCTCTTCTTGTTTCTTCTTGTGCTTGCACAACCATTCGTTCTCCAGTTGTAGCAACTTTTACAGTTCTATTAAAATCTGTGCACAGAATCAGAAGAAGCTACCTGTTTACCAAGTGTGTGACCGGCTGATGTGCTGTGCAATGAAAACATAGTAGGGGCAGCTTAGCAGAAGTAGAATGCAAATTGCTAGGGTAGATCAGTGTCCTCTGAATTTCTTAATTCAACAGCTATAAAAGAAGCCACAAAATAGCTGTTGAGTTATTGAACGTGCAAGGCCTTAAGAGACAACTTTCTTTGCTCTTTTGGTGGGGTTCTGTCACCAGAGAGGGAGTGAAGATTGATACGTTAAACTAACGCCCCATGGGAAAGGAGAACTGCCAAGAGCTGGTGCAAGCAGAGGAGCAGCTGCTGTTAGCTTTTTTTCTTCTTCTGTGGAAGAGAGGTGCTGTGAGGACCAAAGTGTAGAGAATGTTCTTAAAATGAACAAACAAATACAAAGACCTGAAAGAACAGAAAGAAGACGACAATAGTTAAATGATAATAGAATGGAGACACTGAGAGAAGAGAGAGCAGGCTGAATGAAAGTTATAAAGGAAGAAAAAATGGGAAGAGAAATTTAATGGTGAATTCAGAAGAGATAGGAAGGCTGATATTGCAAAAAAGAACTGTCTTGAAAAACCAAGTGGATGATATAAGAATTAATAGAGACGTTATAAAGTGGAATACAAAAGTATTTGTGACAGGAATAACAGGAACATTTTTTAGAAGATTTTACTGGAAAATAGGGAATAGACATACCCACATTGTACAATATAGAGATGTTTCTCAGGATCTGAAAACTCTATAACCACATCCACGTGGTGCCGTGCCTTGTTTAAGTAACCCAGGTGTGGCATCTTGCTGATGTGGCTACAATGCTTCCAGCCCGGGAGCTGGCTTACTCTGAGAGGTGGGATGTCTGCATGGCACTGGGTGCTGCATATGATGAAACAGAAAGCCAAGACTGCCTCCCCTAAACTTACATTAGCAAGAAGATTTGGGGGATTGCCTTTCTGCAAAGTTGCAGAGATAAGGAGGAAAAAAGAAGAGAGTAGAAAGAACAAGAAAGAGAAGAGCAAAGATGCTCAAGGAGGTTGGGTCCCTGCAGTAAAAAGCAACCAAAGAACATTTGCCTCCCACGTGTTAGTCCCAACAGCTCACATCTCTCCCATCTTTTCCTCCAGCTTGCAAACAATGTGAAGGGGACTCACTGTCTCACCTACCGCTGGAGTTCATGGCTTTCCCTTGCACAAGGATGAGTGCTGCCACACTGCAACTAGCCATGGTCCAGGCTTAATTCCACAGTGAACTAAAATTCCTGTGGCAGCAGGAAGTAAGTTAGCACTGTTTAAAATGGTTTTGATGCTGAATTAAATATTAAAATGAGTGAAATAGTGCTGCATACAGTTTGGACTGTCACACATTTTAATATTTAATTCAGAGAGCCACCTTTTTAAAGTTTCTTCAGTTAATCTTAGCACACTACAAGAAATAAAAGGCAAAATCAAATGCTGACCTGCTACAGAAATTTAGGTAATAGCTTGATTCAGAGTTTCTTTCAGTTCTGTTGTGAAGTACTTGATTTCTCAGCCGCAAATGAAAAAGACTTTTTTTCCCCTGAAGCCTCAGTCTGGGTGAAATGATAAAAACTGAGATTTCTTTTTTCTTTCTTATTTTTCACTTTCAATTCATGTTTAGGTTTTTTTTTTTTTTCCTATGATAGCTATCTCCGGAAGTTTCTGTAAATCACTCCAAAGGAGTCCTTTTTAAAAAATGAACAGAGAGCTCCAATATTATATGTGAAATACACAGAATTATAATTGTAACTCTTCAATAACTGATCAAAAATTATTTCTTCTGTAAATGATGAGAAAAATGATGTAGAACATTTGTAAACATAATGGGGAAAATTCTATTCTATTTCAAGGTGAATATTTATGAGAAATGTAAATAAAATACCTATATAAAAGTGCACATGCAAGCAAATACATGTATGTGTGTGTATATGTGTATATATACATATGTTTGTAGGGCATTTGAAAGAATTTTAGTTTGATTACAAAACAGACCAAATTTGAGGCATACTAAATACACAGCTGTAATCTTAGTCGTGCTGTTTGTGAATGTCTTCTGTAAACTCAATGAGTTGGAGATGTAAGAAAAATTGTATGCCATTTTGTATGTATAGACTGCATTTCAGTGGTCTATGCAAGAGGTAAAATATGCAAAAAGGAAGCATAGGGAATTCTGGAAACAGAATAAATATATTTTAAGCCCAATTATGCAGTGTTTCTCTAAAGTCATAAGAGCCTGTCACAAGACCAAAGCTAGAGTTTTCTACTGGAACTATTATTTTTCTGGCTCTGAATTTCATGGGACATAATAGCAAGCAGATGCTGCCAAAAAAAATAATGTAGAAAGCCTTTTCAGTTGGTGCCTAACTGTGTTTTCTGCACCACTATTTTTCACATTAATCTTTTCTTGACTTCTAGTTCTGTCCAGTTGTTTCCCTTTAGAGAATGGTGCATTATCTATAAACTAGCATTGTGGAAATAACTACATACAGAAATGTGTACATTATATGCTACTGGAATTAATTTTACCCCATATGGTTAGAAGTATTTCAGTTAGCTAGTCTCATAGCATATAAAATACTTTTTTCTCTTAAGCTTTTGTCGATTATAGTGTAAAATGGTAGAAAGAAAATAATTTCGGTCATCCTCTTTCTTTTGTTTCCTGATCCCTTTATTCTCAATGTGAAAAGAAAACAATTAGTATAGTCAGAGGATCAATAATTTAACAAATATAATGTAATCTACAATTATTTCTTGAAATTTGCACCCTGAACTGTAACATTTTACATGCACACAGATGCCACCTATATTTAATTTTTTTATAATGTATGCATGCAATCCTGCTTCATTTGAAACCATATCCTTGAGCAAAAGACACTGCTGATTATCCCAGCTTGAAATGAATGACAAGATGAAGCTCCATGTAGCTGAAAATAAATCCTGCTTTCCTCTCTCAACC